GATGTCAGTGGCGTTCTTGTTGTCAGTTTCTGTCCAGATTGCCTGAGTGAATGTCTGGAGGTGTAGGCACCTCGGAATGATTGTGTTAAGCTAGCACTAAGTCCCTCCCCCATCCACCTTTATTCTTTTCTTTACAATAAGGCTTTCAAATAAGTCATGGTGGCAGTGAAGTGAAGCATTGGTGTTGAGCACTGATGTCATGCTGTCGTTGATGATGATGATGATGATGGTTGTATTGTCTGTATCAGGCGCTTTGTTTGCTTGATGATGATGATGATGATGGTTGTATTGTCTGTATCAGGCGAGGCTCTTTGTATGCATCCCTATTCCTATCTACTTCAGTGATGAAGTGTTTTATCATCGCAAAACCCCAAAAGATTATGCATCCCGATCAAGACAACGATTTTATGGGCACGAAACCCTTTTCTTTACAATCATTTCTTCAGAAGCAAACTCATTTGGCGATGCCTTTCGATTCTCCCGCATAGCTGATTTATTTCCTGAGGGTAGAGTGTTGCAGAATATACTCGTTTGCAACTTAACTTGGTGTTAACGGGAAGTTTATTTTTATACCGCTTTTTATCTGAATGTGCTAGACAAGGGTGAACTTAGTTACTTCAGCTATCAAAGTATAGTTTCTTGATATAATGCTCCTTATAAGTTTCCATCGGCCACATGTTCTGCTTGAACACGAAACTCTCTGTAGTTGGTGGGGTACACCCGTGAAAAAAGGAGACTCCACCGAGCCCCAGCTGAATCACAAACGATAGATTTAGTTGGTAGGGTACCCGTACGTTGTGTACAAGATGGGTGGATAGTGCCCGCTCCCTTGCTTCTTTTGGTTCGTGCTACGCATGCTTGGACTTCTCATATAAAATGGGTTATCTATGAAGACAAGTCGAATAAATCTTATATTTAATGTTATTATCCAATGAAATGGATGGACTCAAGTCGGAATAAAAAGACTCCTCTTGATGCTTACTCTGACAGGACACCGCAACTTGGGGTGGATCCGAACACTCAACCTCGTCCTCACAAACAGCACCCTCACAGCCCTCTTGTCCGCTCATACAGAACCACAAAACATCGCCAAGTAGAATTTCCATGCGACTTAGAACGATGCCCACAATTTTCGAGGTTGGTCTTTCAATCACTTTCCATGGATTGTTTATTCGTATTTCCTGGTGTCCGATCCCATTCAGTTGTGCTTTTGAAATGATAATAATTCGTTTTCCTTCAGCGCGGCTCAAAATAAGCCAGCAATCAAGTACCGATGACAAAGGCGTTGCTTTTTTGGGAAAAAGCTTTGGCAAGTGGCGTCATCATAAGTAATCAGTACTGCCCAAACTATCATTTTCGTTCGAGGCTAGATATTGCGCGACTCGTATGCTTAGAACTATCTGTCATATTTTGTATTGATCCGTCAGCTTTCAAGACGGCTGCTGCGTTTAGTTTCTTTCAAAATACCCCATGCCAAGTATACCGTGACTAATCCTCTAACTTCAAAACGCCTGCCAAAGTAGCACCATTTGTGGAGCTATTCATGCGGTCATCCCTCAACCAGGTACGCATTATCTTCCTAAATCTTGAGTTACAGTTTGTTCCTCAGGTTACTGTTGGCTTTCGTAGAAATATCGTTCGCCCAGAAATATGTTCTATACAGCAGTCAGGTCAGCAATATGAACTGTGAGATAGTGAATGTTCAATAGCAACACAGTAAATGAATCCACCAGACACGAATGATTGGTCGATTTGCCGAAGACGAGGCCTCTTAGGATCGAACACGATTCACAACAATGCGAGTCAAGTGAGTAGATTTTTGGGCCAAATCTGGTCTGGGTTTGGATTCGGATGGATTGGCATACAACAGGTGATTAACATCTGGCAGAATTTTCCTTGCAAGACTGGTTCTAGCCACAAAATGCTGTGAACCAATAGACTCAGAAAAGACAGTACTTGTTAAACCGTTTCATCCGCGCAACATCCAGCTGGATCAACCAACAAACCTGAAAATTAACCGGAGACCAATAAAGACATGTTGGAAGAATGCACGTGATTACAAACTCAAGAATAAGATGGCGCGGAGCAAGCAGGTTCTCACTTTACTAATGGCTAATCCTGCATGGTTGGACAAGGAAAATTTATTCGATACAATCACCTCCAAGCATTTGACGGAATAATATATCGCCATTGGCGGTACTGCTCTGGATATCGTCATACACAGGCTTATAACGCGATCCATGGAGAAGACCTAAAGGGATCCTGAGTAGACTGAAAGAGGGCGTACAAGAGTAGTGAGGACATTCCAAAGTCGCGGAGAAGCCCAGAAACCCAAATATGAACAGTCAATAACCTTGTCATCATCAAATTTGCAACCAAAGGTAAACTAAAGACAGGGAAGACATCACAATAGCTGTTTTCGGAACACGTGTTGTAGAAATCAAAGAAGTTTTATATACAATACAAAGTATTTTACTTCCGGCTAGGGGATAAATGGTGTAAGATAGTGCCGAGTCATGAGTGCGCTCGTTGTCAACCATAGTCTTCTGTCAGTAAAGCGGATCAAAGCTTCCAAATATATTTGTGTTGTGAATGAACACCAACAAAGAATACGCAACAAATGTCACGGATTCAAGCGTAGAGCATCAGCGTCTGTGATCACTCTGGAAGTTGTCACCCAAATCCAGCGTCGTCCCAGTACTCTTTCAAAGCACTTCAGTAGGTGAGAGCCACATGCTGTGGGTGTGATTTGGCAAAGTCCGTTTTCGGGAAGGACTTATACGAGGTGATTTTCGGCGTTCCGGCGTCTAACCTGTCCACCTATACAGGTTAGACAACTCAACAAGCGGGAAGACAAGTAAGCAGTAAATTCTTTCGAAACGACCGGAGAAACTATATCAACACCAAAGCGTTTGTTGAATTTGAGTTGAGCTGTTTCCTTCCAGATAACGTTGTAAAGATGGACTTTTGACGAATTAGACATCGGAAGGGTCTCTGAAACACACACAAGGGGAGACTACTGGTCTTTTAGACATCCGTTTAGACTCCGTTGCGGCAGTTTTCTCAGGACAGGTCACAGTTCAAGGAGGCTTTTTTTCATTTTCAGTATGCAAAGGCTTTGAACGTTTCTTTAACTCTATTCTCCCTAACCAACCACTCAGATTTCTAAGTTCGTTAATAAACTCTGCAGGATTCGGGAAGGAGGTGGATCAATTGGGCTGTCAAGATGGACCAGATCATAGGTGATCTGTGATGCGTTTCTAATACAGCGAGGGAACGGTGAGTGAACAAAGACAAGATAGCAGAAATAACCACATCACTAAAGTTCGCCAGGTTCGCTGGTGTGCATTCTCCTTTTCGCACGGACACAATCTGCCAACTAGTTGCCCCTAGTTAACTTTATGGTCCCGTGTTTTGATTCAGTGGCCTAGTGGGCTGACAGGGGCCATCTTTTGGTACAGAAAATGTGTGAGTCTCTTTTAGAAACATTGAGCTATAAATCAGAAGCGAGTAGGAAAATTTACCAGGTGGCGCGATCCAAGTCAACGAGGAAATGCCAAATCTACAGAGAGACAAGAAAAAGTAACTCGTCCGAGCTTGCTGCAAGAGGCGTGGTATAACATGCGAAAGTACTCTAAGTAATCACCACCGGTGAGGCATTCTGCGGTCGCATCTTGATTTTGCATTCCGTTATGGAGTAGTTTACATGCATAGCTTCCATACATGGTAGTTTTGGTATTACCGATTTCGACAAGCTTAGAAAAAATGTCGGGAGCTTTCAGTCAGTCTATTAGTCTTCTGGTCACGAAACCCAAAATCTCTACGAATGCCTGAGATCACAGGTTTCATTTGTCACCCAGTTTGTTTTTTTTAACCTAAGGTTCTTTGCGGACGCGATTGCAGCAACCACCTTCCTCTGAGAACTTTTCCAACATCCCTCTCCGTCAATTATTTAGCACGTGGTCTCTTCGGAAAAGAAAAAAACAAAGTAGCATTCTTCATATTGATGATATCTCGTGATTGGATTGTTATGTTCTTATTCTGCTTCATTTTGTTAGTCCATTGTATCTTGGATCTACCGGCGTTGGTCTTTTCCCAAAGGCTTTGTGGAACTTGCTGTGCTTACAACAGTGCTAAATAGGAAGAAGACACTGCCTGTGCTTCCAGACTCGTAAACTTAGACTTGCAGACTTATCAGTTTTTACAGATCCACCTATCATATTTCGTTCCAGATAAAGATGTTGATAAATCAGTCAACACGTGTCCGCAGTGTTTCACTCTTCAAGCTTCAGCTAACTTAGTTTCTTGCATCTTAAGTGAATAAGTACGTAGTTCCGTGCGTCAAAGACAGACAGCATCGTCAGATTGTAAGAACCAGTAGATGTGAATGACCTAATGTAGTGAATTCAGTGTTTTAGAGTGCAGTAAACTCGCCTGATTGCCTTTCAGCTTCAAGAACTTCATCGAAAATCCCCATCGAAGTCGAAAACCCTCATGAGAGCCGAATCAATGCCTGACACCAATCCGGCAACTGACAACACATTGGTCGAAGGACGAAAAGTCTCTTTTTTCAAGGTATCATTCATACTTGACTCGGTTTCTTCAATAACTCAGATTTCAATCATATCGCTGTTCACCTTCGGCTGTTGTCCAACAAACCACAACACAACTGTTACTTAGTATTTTTATCCCACCTCCCATCAAACGGCCACCTTTACCTTTTTTTACCATTTTCGACTCTGAATGATTATTCGCCGTTGCTTCTGACGCGATAGCTTTACTCTAGGAGTGTATCTTCTGGTATTCAAATCGCTGAAAATGATGTCGGTAAGACATCAGCACCCTATGTGACCACTTGCTTTTGACCCGCTTTACTAATGTACGTCCCGCAGCCGATCGTCTACGTCCCCTCAAGCGAGCAGTTTTGTCCACCATATCTGATATTTACTAACTCCGATGCCATCTACAACAGCGCGCTATTATGTTTGTTTTCTTATGCCAACATCTTGTACCAATGCTCTTTGCTAGACTTTTGTATACGGTTCAGCTCAGGTGTATGTGCACTAATAGAAGTTTTTGTATGGTTGCGACACGTATAAAAATAAATACAGTGCGAGAATGGGAGCAGGTCGAAAAGGGAACTTATCGCATATGAGAGGTCCCTTGGTGGAAGTCCGGACGGCGGGTACGTGTTTTTCTCCGCAGTTCGACTGCTACACGTACTCCATGGTTGTCCGTGGACTTGGGGAGAGGTTGGCGTCCTGCTCCCTGCGCGCGCGCGAGTCCGTGTGTTGACTGGATTCGGTTTCCCTTTATGTAGGTCCCAGTGAGTATACGTGGGTGCGTCGGCACATGAGTCGTTGCTACGCTGACTAGGCGGTGCAGACAATCGATGTCCGATGAGCCAGCTTAGTGTGACGTGTTTGTGCGTATGAGAAAAAAGACAAGCCTCGCGATCCAGTGAGCGATCGAGTTGAACAGTCAAGTATGTGGGTGACTGGGTCGCTGCAAGCTCAGAGGTACCGCAATTGCTGTCACTCCTCTGATGCTCTGATGCTGCAATGTGTAAAAACAGGAAGTTAGTGGGACAACCTCAATCAATCACCGCAGAAGCCTGGTGGTTCTGAAGGGATTTTACCATAAGAGTCTATCTAACGCGGATAGCTCGTAAAGCCGGGTTGAAACATACATATACTTTCCTATTCAGAGATACTTTCAGACTTCGTTCTTCGATCAAAAATGCAATTTCATGTCATGTTTTCTGATGACTTTTTTAAAACCAATTACCGACTAACTTCTTCCATTTTAGAGCACGACAGAGTTACCTCCAGTTCCTCACACAAGATGGAGTCCTAGATGTTTGTCCGTACCCGAATCATTGCCTTCTTTTGACGGTACGCTTCCACCAAGATCGGTGGGTAGTTCAGTTTTCGGTGGCGACCTCCATCCGACAAAAAACCCGCATTTGCGGTCGATGGAGCATATCTCCGATCGTGTACCACTTCCACACTTGCGACAGCACAGTCAGAATGTAGTCCAAAATACGTTACCTCCTGGCTCCATCTACCCACTGACTCAGGTCTCACAACAGCCTACAATGAATACCGTTTCACGTGTGGATGAGCAATATCTTACTAACTCAACACTACCATCTTTTGGTACACGTGATGACCCTCAACAGGTTGCTTACGAACGACGATTACACTACGCTAAACAACCCGGTACCACCGCATACACGACACATAATACAATGCAATTACAAACCTTACCATCCGGGTAAGTATATTTCTTGGCTAGCGCCACTTTGTCTGCGGTGATTTCTCTCAGTAAGGACCAGGTGTAACAGCTGATTACAGCGGCCCTTCATGAAAGAAGGTCCCTATCTGGGGACTTGAAAAACTCCTTGTTCGACGCTTGAGTCGGGTATTTGATTTTAAAAGAAATCCGTTATGTCCTCTTACGTTTCATATTGTTCTGTGCCTAACCAGCTCGTCCCAACCCGATATGGGCACTTGATGCTTCTAGAGACCAAATCTCCACTTTTCACGAAATATAACTTACTGAAGCTGGTTCTGGGAGGACTTATTCGTGGTCTTTGAACTAGATCAGTATGGTCTGTCCTTAGCTGTTCACATGATGCTCTTCAGATTGTTCCATGTGTTCTAACACATACAAACTTTGAAATCACTTCCATCGTGACGCGGACTTCTTCACATTGAAGGGTAATCAGGCGTCCCACCATCGTAGTTTGCCACAACCAAACAGAATCCAATCTCCTTCCCAAGAGCAGTGGTCTCCTCTGGGCAGCAGTGGCAGAAATTGGTAAAATTTTCTTAACCATTTCTGGATGCATTTCGCCCATCAATTCTTTGGTAGTCCTCGTGGGGTCCGTACATAGACGGTCTCCTTAGGAGGTCATGTCAGTTTTCGGTCAGAATGAACCTGTATGTTGTATTAGACAATATTTGGCCAAGGTCATTCTAACACAGCAAATTGGTCACCGTGTTCTTGTGACTGTTTTTAAATAAACTGAAAAACCCGTCAGTCAGCTGTGTGCTTATTGCGACGCACAGCTTTGATGCAATTTTGGACATACATACGTCAGTTGATGTGTGTTGTCAGATCAACTCAAAGAACAGAAGCCCAAAATCAATGCGGATTCTCCTACAGTAACTCACATATCTCGCACCTCTGCACCATCTCAAGACCACGTTCCAAAAGGCTGAAAGACCGCTGCAGTTGGCGATCTCTAACGGAGGAACGTGGGTAGATGTGGATTTCGAAAAAAACGCATCTGATTACAGTGAGACGCCAAAGAAAAAAACACGTTTCTTGATTTTTGTGCGGTTTGCTTTGTCGCCCATGATGCAACTCACTTGTTAAAGGCTTGGGTTTTATGGGCGTTCACATAATCCTGGCATTCTCTAGACTCACCAAGTGTTTGATTTATTATTAACACGATACACACAGATTTAGAAATTCGCCACAGCACGTTTCTGAGACTGTTAGTCCAGCTAAACAGCTCAGGCACGCGGATGATCCTGTTATGATGCTGCCAAGCATCAGAGAGGAAGTGGAATTCGTTGAGCTGAGTTGAAAAATGCCATTAAACAGTGGCCAATCAACGCGAATCTGCTGATGACTGTCAACGTAAGGATCGGAATGTCGTGAAAAAACGATGAGACTCAAGGATTTTTCGCAAACCGTCCCCTGAAGGTACACATGCAGGCAGGAGGTGTGATAAGCAATGAATTTTGAATGACCGTTCAAAAAGCTCAAAGCAAAATGGCAAGTCCAAGACTGTGCAGGAAGTCGCGCAGCGCCCGCTTTAATCAATGTTTTTTTTAAATAAAATAGAAACTAGCCCCCTAGTGATGTCTCACTTTCATTGCACATTGTGTGAACTTTAAATATCAGGCCGAGTCAGCAGATAATCGATGTAGAATGTAGGCAAAAGTAACAGGTTTGTTACAAAAATCAGTACCTCACTTACGAGTGTCACAAAACTAGGGTCTTGTTGGATTTCTCGAAATGCAAATCTCGCGGTCCCAAACGTTGTTTTGAACAAATCCGACGGGTTGTCCCTACTGATGAGGTCACTGTATTTTGTAAGCATGACTGTGGTAACTACCTCAAAGATTAGACTGTTGTCTATTTCCAGTTGGCCCTGACACCCCAGGATAATGTGCGCACTTTGATCCACCTTGTTGTTTTCCACCACTCAGTTCGACGCTTCTACCACCCTGGCATCCTCACCATCACTGCTACCATTAAGAGCTCCCAAGGCACTTCTTGCGTTGTCTTCCACTGTGCCCTCTGTTTTGTCTCTTGAATTCTTAAACAACTCCTTTGTATGTGTAACGGTCGAACGGTATCTTCGAGTGGCGCGTAATACCAGAACCTCCGGGTAGGCAAAACAAAGTCGGAGCTGGGTTTCTATACGGTACTATTAGGGTAAGAGAAATTCACAATTTATACAAACCTCGACAGTAGATACGCGTCCAAAACAAACAGTCCGCTTGGACTACAGAGGTACAAAGCAAGGGAGCAAACAGGCTCCCGCGTGCAACAGTCACACGTGCAAAGTCAGATACAAATGGCCGGATGACCTCAAGGCCAAATGGGTGAAATGGTAAAGACAAACAAACGTCAGTTCATATATATGCACACTAAATACAAAAGTGGGGCGGGGTTGGTTTCCAGGTTGTTGGTTTTTTTATAATAGTCCCCATCCGGCACAATGGTAGCTGATTGATTTGGAGACACTTCGTTAATTATTCGTTATACTAAAGCCTTCGCCGTATGTGATTGGTGAGTCTTTACAGTTTGGTGTACTAATGAACACCTTATACATTCCTAGGCCTGTTAGCACGGTTTCGGACTGCGATTCGTAATTTCTCGCCTAGCTTCGTTCATGTCATTTTTCAGAATTCCTAACGCAAGAAAGCTTCAACCTGTGAGCCTGCACAAAAAACCAACCTTCACTCTCCAATTTCCGGTCAACGTTGGTTACTGTTCCAGCCAACCACTATCATCTACAAATCACGTGTCACTACTTGGAACGACACCACAAGCTAGATCAACTTTTACTGGTATTCCTCACTTGATCCCTACTGCTGAACGGCGTCGTCCTGGATTTGTAGAATACACTAGTACCTTCTCTTCGTTTGGTCTTCAAGGTCCCGTCGCCACTGATTCATCTGCGGCTGTAACGGCTTGTGACAAATCCGCCTTGACTTCCTGTTCTGCACTTCAACATACGAGTACAAAACAGGGACTTGTAGATAAATATGATTTGTATGGATCCGGATCACAATGGTTTGGTTCAACTACCAACCCAGGGCACACTTTGAACAATTCTGTTCGGTCCACAAGCAACGCCAATCCTGTTTTCGGTGCTCGACAGTCGAAGGAATCAAATCACCTTCACCGTATCCCTGAAAGTACGTCCCTCATTGAATCAGTGTCTGTACAATTAGTCTGTTTCTCGAAACTTAGACGCAGCCCTCAGAGTTAGTGCACGATTCTGTACTCAGAGGAGACGGTTGGCTCACATTAGGTCACGTTGTGCAGGTGCATATGTTTGACCTTGAATACTCACAAGGTCACGGTGAACTGTCATCGGTTTCCGGGTTTGCTTGTCACATCGAACGACGCCAGTGGACCCCCACATGTGTGACCGAATGAACTTGCCTGACTGATTCAAACCCGGTGGTTTAAAGCAAGAGGAGACAGAACGGGACAGATTTAAATCCACCAGTACATACAACTAATGGCCCTTAGTGGTCAAGGCCACGTAAAAAACGAAACTTTCGAGTTTGCCCTCAGTAATCACAATTGAAACTCAGTTGAAACAAAGAAATCTGGTTAGTAAGTGCTATCCACTTTTCAGCCTGGTCAGCACATAACTGGTCACTGAGCCGCCTTAGCAATATTGTATCCTTAGCGCTTCGGGGTGTCCAAAATCTTGTAGTTGCCATTTGCATATTTATGCATGAAGTCCACATCAAACACGATACAATCAATAAACAATAAGAGGAATCCCACCACAGCATAATACAACAAGACACAGTGCAAAAATGTGAACGTAAGCTAGCAAACAGCCCATACAGCAACCCAAACCAGGGGGCTAAATTGGCGAGCGCCCAGCAGGCCGCCGACCGATGAACGTACAAACGGACGTATTTTGTGAGCATATAATGCTATACTGTAATCTACACGGTGTATTCTGTTATCGAGGGCTCATGTGACTGATCCCTCCTGCGCTTTGCTGGCGCTGTTTGAACCACTAACACATTTCCGCCAAGAAATTCTGGTGAAATTCCCAACCCTTTGTACGGAAAATTTCAGGACCTCAAGAGGAACCGATTACCGGTTGAATCAACTGGACTGTTTGAACAGGGCAACAAGCAGATACACACCGTAGGATGAAACCATTTCACTTATTTTTGTTATCGAAAAGTTTGGGACAAGCGGTCTATTCACAGCCAGACTTGTAGAAACGCAAATACGCCCGTGAGTGACCTAAAGTGAAGTAGGTGAATATAAAATCAAGCTCTGCGCCGTCTCCTTGCTGAGCACAACCTACAAGTAAAGTGACAAACATGAAGATCGGTTAATCAGATAAATTTTGGGAGCTGCGTTGAACGTTGAACTCCTAGTTTTTTGTCGTGCAATTCTGGTGACGTCATCATTAGAGTGCTTCTTAACCATTCTCAGCTAACATTGGTCTCACTGAGCTCTCCATACTGATGCCATCTGTAAGCAACACTTACAAAGTTAAGGTGGATATCATACGTAAATAGGAGAATTCTCTTATCGAGAGCAATCAAATAAGATACATTTTTGTCCAGGATGTCTGGAGAAGAAGGCGCAACTGAATCTATTCTGGTTTGGAATAGGATATTCGTGAATAAGTAGGCCACGTCGATCCAGAAGAGCATGTGCGAACTTTCTGTAGTGTGTTCCACGATAACCGCTAACTGTAAATTTTCCTTCGGAGAATGTGCTTCAAAATATCAAGTACCCACGTCGCAACAATTTTGGCTTTTCCGGTCTCCCAGTATAAACCTCAAAGTTCTGCTTGCTCGTGTGTTTTGCAGCCACCCCTTTTCAGTGTTAGTGAACCTATGAGCTTCAAGCAGTCCCATTAAAATTAAGATATCTGACCATTTATGGAAAGCAGCTCTGAGCTCCGTAATATCTGGTTTTCTATCAAATTATAGTTTGCCAAACTGGGCCAGGTTCGATTTTTCACTGTCATTTGGGAGTGGATTCATTTTCGAATGATACTCCACTGAAATTATTATGACAACTCCCTCGTTTCCCTAATAGTTTACTACTTTCAGCTTTCAACCTATTGCGGCAGGCGAATTGATCTGGGGTATCGACTAGTTTAGCTGGAAGTCGCCGGGCTTCTTCATTTGTTGACGTGCGTCCTTTGAGTTAGTCGTAATGGCTATCCAGCTTTGATTTGATTTCTCGGTTTTCCTCAGCCTTACTCTGAACTTTAGAATGAGTGAATACGTTGTGAACCTGGGCTTTAGTTAACAAAAGCTCTCAGTCCTCTCCAGGGGCAAGTGCCGTGTTTTATCAAATTACCGAGAATCGTATGTGGTCACCGTTCGAGTGCGCTTGGCTGTTGTTGGTTTTGCAGTCCTGTATTTCAGTCAACGATTGTTTGTTTGATGTACGCCAACCGTTTATTCGCGCTGCGGACTCAAGCAGACCTTTGTAGCTGAATGACTTTCTGAACTGCTCCGATGATTGATCAATAGACTTACGGCCGAATTCCCATGGCTGTCGTATTGTCACCCCGAGGTGCTCTACTCTCACTGCAGTTTTCGTATCGTTTCCTTCCTTCTTCGAAAATCTTCTACAGCTTTGTCGAATGGATTCAGAAGCACTGTACGCTTTCTGTAACTTAATAGGTCTTGTCCTGATTTGTGGGCAGAATATACTTTACTATTAGCCGCCGGCTGTGTTTTATGGTTCGGCCGGCCGTTAGTGCAATATTCAAGTCCTACGGACTTTCTACAGAATTTTAGAGAACCCTTACTGATAAAACGCGGTCCGTTATTTCAGTTCGGAAATGCCATGCCTAGCAAAGTTCGAGTGTAATCATTTGAGGAGTGTTGTTGCGTGGATAGCTGCCAGCGCCCTAACCTCAAGGTGCCCATTGTAGCAATCTGTAATAAAAATCTATCGTCTTTAGATGTGCACAAACAGTTCTAGGGTGACTAGTTCTCAGGGCAGAGTTGGTATTTCATGTAAGTGTACAAGCCCGTTATACTGCTTTCAGTTGCATACTCGCCATAATGAACCGTGCATTGTTATTCTTTTATTCGACCTAATCATAACTGGTGAGTAAACTGGTTCCCGGACGCTATCACCACTAAAGTGTGTCACATGTACTTCCTTCATATAGCAATCCATCAGGTCTCAACGCCGTCAGTATCACTATGCGGTCGTTCGTAAGCAATAAGTCACATTCGATGATCATTGTGGGAGAGTTTTAGGTAATCTGAGGCTTCCACTATATTCTGCAGTCAGCTAGCAAACAATACAGACAACTCTTTCATGATACAGACATGCTTTGTCGTTTTTCCGGGCTTTTGTGTGTTAATTTCGTTTGCTGATGTAAAATCGCTTGCAGGGAAAAGGTCCTTTTCTGGGACTGATTTCCGCCCAGCCAAAATATAGGGTTTAGACAGTGTGTCAGCAGAAACATCTGCATTCCCGGCCGTAGGAAATTATGGATGTAAGCAGCAGAAGAAGATATGCTTGAGGAATACACTCATTTGCAAATCAATTGGGTTTTCACGAGAGACTCAACTGAATCTCTCGTTTAGGAAGTTCTTCAGCTGAATGTGCTGCACCCAGGCCGCCTCTAATGCGTAGCTACCCAATTTCTGAACTTTGTGAACATGCCGTCGCCTCCAAGGCTTTGGCGATATCTCCCGTACTCTTCTGCTCTCCGTAGCATCTGGAACCAATGTCCCTACTGTACACGGTCTATAGTCAATAAATTGAATTGTTTGAAACGGCTCTATGCAGCTTCCGGGTGTTTCGTGAAACCTTTAGCTGATGTCACCTAGGACATTCCTCCAGCTTTTCTCAAGCGATATCCCACCCTTTCCACTCGCCATAGACATGAAAGCGTATATGGATATACGTTGACTTCCGAGAACGCCATACTTCTATGCTATTCTCTTGAGTATTCACCAGGGTGATATTTGTACTGAAGGAAATCCTCCTTATGGATGGATTCAGTCAGCACTTACTTGGACGGCCCTCCAGACTCACGGAAACTTCATAGCGTAGATGACGGGTCGGGTGTAAAAAGCCCTACCTTCTTCGGTAGTCTGGCTGCGTCTTCCCCATGCAGTCCACGTATAATAAGATCTTTTCGAAGTATCCTTCTGGTCAGCTTAGTTGAATTCCCTTCCTGGCAATTTTCTGCGAACAATTTTAGCTACTGACAACAGTGGTAGGTAGCATCGAATAGTGCTATGTTTTGCCAACTGGATGTGCGTCATTGATAATTTAGGGCACACGAAACATAATAAGTTCAACGTGCACTTTTTTGTAAATATCGTTTTTCTATGATTTCTCAGGATCCTAGCCACAGAATCCGAAGTGCCTCTAAGTAGTGGAAATTGCCAAAACAACGAAACAATACAGGTTCAGCCAACCGGCGTAAAACGCCTCTGTAGTACCTGGATTTTTGCTCACTAGTGCTCATTTAAAAAAATTCACTTTAAGCATCAAATCGCACTAAACCGACTTTTGTTCCAAAGGGGTCGAATTCAAAATATTTTCAGAAAAGTTATCGTCGCAACTAATTTCTCGTGAAGAAATACGCGTCACTCAAGGGAACAAGAGCCGTATTTCCACTTAAAAGTCGGATAACCTCACAGTCTCACTGACCAAATGTACTGCTTGACAAAAAGCAAATCCAGCATATCATTTGGAACGTAGATAAAGTGATCAGACTACTCGGGTATCAGGAATTCGGTGACACAAGAATCATTAGGCGTGGGCAGGAAATTTATGTCACATACGCCTGTCTGCTAGTACTCTGTTTTAACCAAGTCGAACTTTCAGTGGTTAATTTTTTTCAGTTAGCCGGATGGTGCGACAGTGTTCATTCCAGTCTCCGGTATCTGGTCAACATGTAGCCCCAGAAATTAATTCCTCGACATTATATTCCAAAGGGAAGTTTAGCTGCCCATGGTAACTAGTCGAGCAAGCGATCAACAAATATAAGAGCACACCTAATCCATGTATCTGTCGCCCTTGTTTCGTCCGTGATGTTCAATTTCTGCTTAATGGATACGGCAATTTTATTTGGTATTGCATTTTTTCTGGAAAATTGGTGTATTCTTCCGATATTTCCTATCCAGTGGGTTCCAGACGGGGCCCTGTCGTGTTTTGCTCTGGTGAAATAGCCCAGAATCAAGCCACTGTTTGATTTATGTATTTTCCCGTAGATACTCTGTACTGTGGTAAGTTCCTCAGGATAGACTGGTTCAATTGCAACCAGGAACATTCTTCTGCATCCTTTAAACTACTCGCTTATAGGTACAGCTGGTGGTCTACATTGTGAACAAAATCTCCCATAAATTCGCGTCTTTTGGTTGCACACAAGCTTGTCATTGTGTCCAGCGATCAGATGGGCCACTTTAAGTATGACTTCAGAAGCCGAACCAATTTACTAAACATGCGGTACCGTGAACCATGATGAAATGGTGTAAACACCAACACTTGGGGGTAACGTCATTTGCAGTACACCGGGTTAACGCTTATTCCCGAAGAGATCCTGAGTAAATAAAGTAAATCGGAAACACTGTGGCTTTCCAAAGTTCACGTCAAATTAAGACGGAATTCCCGGTGCATGAAGAAGATCACGTGAACGTATTGAACCAGGAACACTGCGAAGCTCCAAAAAGAGCCAATATGTTGATGAAAGTCAGTGATTGACTAACGTTCACGTCGCATACAAGTGGAGGATATATAAGCACAGAATGGAAACAACAAATAAACATATAGGAACAACCTTAGCACACAAGAAGAATGGAGGAAAAAAATTAACTCAAATCACAAGTGGAGTGTAGTCAATAGGAAGTCTGTTTGGTGGCATCTATATGTTTCCATCAGCGTTAGCTATGCCCAAGAGGTGAGAGCTTAGAGAAATAGGGGAAATCATCCATGGGTTAACGACTACTATGAATATACGGTTACGGTTAAGTCCACACGTTGCCAAAACAAGATGAAAAGGAATGACCATCCACATTGTTGAACCACTGAGCCCATCTAGCGTATTTGGTTCATTAACGTACTTTACATTCTCTTGCAGGATTCCGAACGGCAACTCTTCATCGCAGGTGATTTCCCTGGAATCAACTACCAGCACAACCTCACACAAGGGCTTCATAAACTCGTCCCGCAACGTTCGAGCTGTGATGGCGCGCAAGGTTTCAGTCCCATGCGTCCTGCTACTGTATCTCTTATTTCCCTACCCTTTCATAGCCCTTGCTTATTCACTATTCTGTATTAGTTACGGAAACTTTTTTGTGCTCTGATCCCACGACGCAGCACGTTTTTCACATGCTATACTGTTTTGGTCATACGTGCCACAACCATCACTGCTGTATGACTATGTATAAAGGAACAAAATCGAGCTCCGGTCATGACGCGTCAGATTCTGGGTTGCATTGTAATTGGCTCACTCAAAGTCATCCTGAGTGGAGGTGAATCGATTTGCCATTGAGGTACAGAGCTGTCCGTCGAAAGGGCTCAATCCATCAGATAAAATTTGAATTTAAAAACACACCTTCTAATTAGTTAGCTGGCTAATTCGTATTTAGTTGCCGCATCGAAGTCAGTTTTATATCCCGCTTCTTGATTTAAACCAAAAATCGATAAATTTGTCTGTCAGGAAGCTCAGATTCCTGGAAATAATCCCACAATGCCCGAAACCTACTGAGACCCTCAAACTCAACCAAAATCTTGATAAAGAAGCCGGCAATCAATTGATTCAGCAAAGGCCGATGAGTGTTCGAGCACGCAACAGAAGCACGACCGACTATGTCAGGTGTTCAGGTAATTCATAGGTGAACAGTGGATGACGATGGGTGTTCGCTAAACACCGATCAGACAGTCTGGATCGCTGTCGAAAGTGCCACTGAAATGTCATGAGGTCTCTTGTAACTGTTGCACTTGTTTGTTCGCAATATAGCCGTTGTGCTCCTTGTTGGCGAATCTTTTATGGACACTGAGACACTGAAGCATTGTCACAGCAGCAACCAGGAAACTTGATCCTGTGTTGATAGCAAAACGGTGGCACAGTTAACTTATCTTCATCTTAAATGAGGCCAGACAGGATATGATCGCAACAGCCAGGCATAAGCACACTATCCGGTGAACACGAAAAAAACCGGGACGATAAAAAGGGTGGCTTCCAATATGGAGCTGTCAAAATCACTCGGTATTTCTAATATGAAACGGCCGATTTTACCATTACTACTGATACACTGTCCTGCAGCATTATTAGGTTTCTCAGGACAACGTGAACCATCCTGGCATGCGGGTCAAACTCAATAAATGCGCACTTTGTGATATGTTAGGCAAAGCCTCAGATATAGTGCGAATTGGTAATGTGTTGGAATATTGGTAGCTCTGGTGTATTGGTTGGTAATTGATCAGGTGGCTGTTGATCTGTTCGCCGAGCTTGGCAATTGATTTGCAAACGTTTCGTCACCATTCGAGGAGACATCTTCAGTGCGCTGTTGAAGAAGTGCGCACTGAAGATATCTCCTCGAATGGTGACGAAACGTTTGCAAATCAATTGCCAAGCTCGGCGAACAGATCAACAGCCACCTGATCAATAGTGCGAATTGTAGGTTATGCAACCGAAAACATAGGGTAAAGCAATAGTCCAAGGAGTTTTATGGGCGGCTGATCAGCAGTGTGACTAACTCGCAATTAGGTAAGATATAGCGTCACGTATCCTTCATTCGTGAGGTCCACACCACGTGTTGACTGATTCATCAAGTGAGGAATTTTCAGGTTGAAGTTTCACTCATAACTTGAATTTATTCTTCTTATGGGCTACTTATAGATGATTGGTAGTGGCTCGAAATTCTTTGATTTTGGAAGACGTGTTACTGCTCTACTGGAACCCGAAAATTAGTTATATGAGCAGAAAAAACGGGGAGCATTAACAATGTCAGCTTGTTGAGTAAAATTATTACAATAGGCATATATGCGAACAAGAGACTCGTCGTATTGCAGATACAGGTTGACAAATCCTGTTGCAAGTCCGGATGCAGGTTTTGCGTCTTCTTCGCTGTTGCACACGTATTTCCTGAATATCCGTGATTGAAGCTCCGTAAGTCCTGAGCGGCTATGCTCCGAGTTGGGCGACATGCGTAGCCCTGTTGAGTTGTGTTGCTGTGCTGTTATCCTATATGCAGGAACGTTTACGTGTGTTTGGATGTCAGCACATGACTTGTTGCTACCTTATCAGACGGTAGGCGGTCAGTGTGAGATGAGTCACCCCTGTGTGTCGTGATTTGTACGTGTAGAAGGAAGGCGAGTCTTGGGATCTAGGGTTTGACTGTAAGTCAAGTGAGTCACGATTCTGTGGCGTGAATTGTGAGTGTAAGAAAAAAACAAATCTCGTGATCTAGTGCGTGGCGGTGACCTGCACAGCGATGCATGTGGTGCAGGGATGTCTACAGACGGGCCATGCTGACAATCCACAGTGAAGATGAAACAGCTGTACGGTGCTTCAACACTTTACTCCATATAGGTTGGTTTCACTTACAAGTCGAAATATCTGCTGAAAATTTCAAGATCTCACACTTCTGATCATTCATTTGTCCCATTCCTGGGATTTTAAGATGTTTCTAATAAGGCTATTAACGTATGATCTTCCTCCCGCCACCTCTAACTCAAAAGCACCACACTAAACGTTACACTCGGAATGACGCTCAAGCACGCATACATCATCAACCCATTAATGAGCTATAGCATATTTTGACCCCTAAAGACGGTCTATAGTTATTTGGACTTTCCATTTTGTACGACGACATCCTGAATCAGAATCAGTGGGCTTCAGAAATGTATCGAATAAAAGCTGGTAATAAGCGTCTGCCAGGTCTGTGCAAATCGGACATTGTGCGTGTTCCACCCTCGACGTCTTATACTGCGTGAAGTCCGCACTGGGCCATGTTTTCATTTGCCCTCCGAGGCGGCAACACCGATGGTGTGATATAGGCATCAAAGTTTATTTGGGAATTTAGCATCGCTCTCGTATAGTGAATGATCGGTTCTCTGTGGACGTCATCGTTAAAGGACCCAAAATGGGCGCAATATATCAATACAGCGTTTTCGAATCTCGTCTTTGGCAGTCTTTTCGGTCGAAGGACTTTAAGTATTTGTCGAACACATTAGTGGTTAAAACATTTGAGCCCCCGAATGTTCTGACCTCGTCGGGGCCATGTTTAACAGTCACAAATTAGGGCCACGTAGGTCGCCGCTTTGGTCATACGAAGTCCTGTACACAGGCTAATTTCTGTTCTCTTCGTCTCAGTATGTTCTATCCTTCGTCGGACCATGTTTAGCAGTCAAGTTAGGGCCAATTAGGTCGCCGCTTTGGTCATCCGAAGTCCTGTACGCAGGCTGATTTCTGTTCTCTTCCAGGATAGTTTGTTCGGCTGCATGAAGGCATACCTGATGCTGTCGGTTATCCTTGAAATTTTCATAACTGCTGAGCGGCTAGCCGTTGCATGACTTTCTCCCGATTGCTGGAGTTCATTTTAGCTCGCATACCATGCACCCAAGTACAGTGATTCCAGTTGCTGGAGCTGCATTCACCGGGGATAAGGAAAATAAGAGAATGAAAGCCATGAGTTGGAGATGATGTTCTGATCTGTATATTGACGATAAACTGGTCCGGTTGTCTTGGTACTGCAACGAGTGAGAGTTATACAGTGAAAGCGATAGGTTTGTTGCGAACCCGCAGTAGGTTGCGTGACACACCGGTATCTGTCAGACTCAACAATCACTGGTTTGTCTCATTCCGTGGCCCCTGTCCGGGAAGACAGCAGTTATCAGCGCGACTGGGTTGGCTAGTGAAGACTTTTATGCTTCGTTGGCAAATCATGGACTGACCGCCTTTGGCTCGTCTTCATACGACGCAAGACCGGTCGAAGAGGTCTCCAAGAGACGAACAGTCTTCTGACGTATGAAATGAATAGCCCAACAGGTGTAATCTGTACAATGTAACTAGTTGATCCAGCGAGAGAGAGTTGACTTTCCCGAAAATTATCTGGCGTAACTCAGTAATGCTGATCTAATGTTCCCACCCGATTCGCGCAATGCTTCGGAGGCACCAGTTATCAAACACAGAGAGTCACCGAAGATCTCCCACACTCAGCGACCACTCCGATCTATAAAATAGGACGAATTGGGACGCCCTATACTTTACCCTTGACAATCAAGCTGATGTCACTTAGCGCCACAAATGTCGGATGTTGGTAAATGTTACCGTGGCCTTCCCAGTTGGAAAAGGGATTTCATCTTTCACCAGCCCACCGGGCCCTATGCAGCCCAGACAGACGAACTTATCTACAATATAGACCGGTTTACCTGCATCATAAGGTTTGGATTTGATCCTACCCAGTAACAAAAGACACACCTAATTGTTCATTAGAATTATTCAGGTTATTCAGAATAGTTTGCATTTCTAAAGAGTGTGATCCAAGGACAACAATGCCGTCAGCGTACTATGTCCATGAGAGAACGCCTTGTGATTACTTAGACCCCCGAGATGTTAGAGGTGGGCAACACACCGATTACGAAGGCAAAGAGAAAGGGCGGCAGAAAGCACCCTTACATACCTGACGCCACCGGATGTGGTGAACTCAAGAGAGAACTTGTTTTAGACACGTACGCATCCACTGGAGGGGGCATAGGAGCCTCTATAAGAAAAAAGAATACAGAGGGAAGATCCTTCATCGCTAGACACTGCCATAGTTTCTGTCATTGAAGTGGATATCAGGTTTGAGGTTATGAAAGACGATAATTGTGTTCTTCGGAAGAAGTAGCGCAGTCTCTGTACTTGTCGCACAGTGAAAACATGACTGATGCAACCCCGGCCACGGCAAAACCCAGCTGGATTCTCGTGAATCCAGCCCTCTATGAGCTTGTGCCCAGGTGGCTTTCGCAAGACTTCTCGCCGTATTTTTGAAAGTAGAAATCACCGACGAGGTGCTCCATTCTGTCGGTATTCTCTTCTCATTTCAAGTACTTTGAAGTAAGGCTGTCAGGATAACTGAGAGGGACTCACTATCGTCTTTTAAGGAGGCAGGATACAAACTACCTGGACCAGATGCTTTTTTGCGATGAAGTAATCAGATCGCATAGTGGACTTTCTTTCTGGATGGCGGACTGGTATCAACGTTTCACTCGGGTTAATTTGGTGCAACCTAGAGTTCAGTTGATGGGGCCCAGCTGAAGTGTCCTTCAGTCCATAGTTCAAGACAACGTTCCTGGGAATGAATTGAGGTCCTTTGTTTCGGATTAGCTGGGATAGGGTCCAATTGTTTCTTGTTGCAAAGGCCTTCCTCATTTTTCGGTCTTTTGCGATTTGCCAGTCCTCAATGCTTAAGCTGTTCGATA